GTGACAGATGTTAAGGACTAACGTTTATATAAATACATTTGTATTATTTTAAGATCTTTTTATACAATCATACGTATTGGGATCATTTGTATTAATGTACCGGAGGGAGAGGGTGACGAGCATAAGTTTCACTTTCCGCAACAGCGGTAATAAAGTTTCAAAGTCTCAAAATGCTACAACTACTGTCACAAACTGGATGAATGTGAAGTATGTTGTTAAAGGAGGATGAAAGCGTAATCAAAGAGCACTATTGGAGTGAATTTGATGGTTATTAGACTCAGGATTAATTCATTTGGATTCCCGCTGTATGAAGAAATTAAAGGACGGCGCAAGTGGAAACAATTCACAAAGGGATTAAACTGTTTAAAACACATGCTCAAAGTAAGCCGGATTTTGCCGATGTGTTTATGTGGATTCGAAATTCATAAATAATCTACAAAATGGAGGAGACCGATCTGATCAGAGCAACTGTGACAAATAATCCAACTGAAACCGGCATGGACAATGACTATGTTTTAAAATGCACTTTTTTCTAACATGTGTATCCTTGTGACTATTATTATTTTGTTGTTTTGTTTCCCATTGTAAAGCGTCCTTGGGTCTCTTGAAAGGTGCTATAAAAATTAAAATTATTATTATTATTATCCAGACAAGCCTGGTTTTGACACTTTACGGGCAGAAGAAACATTTCTATTATAGAAACAATTATACATTTCTGTCTTTTTATGCCTATAATAGCTACTAACTTGAATTTGTATTTAAATTAATTAATCAATTATTTTGTATTGTAATGTAATGTAGAGACAAGGCTTTTAGTGACAATCCTGTATTGCCTTACAATTATTATTATTATTATTATTATTATTATGTAAAAAAAAAGTCTAAATATGATATTTGGCCTCAAATCATCAGAGGCCTGGCGCCCCACCCCTGCGATCTTTGGCGCACCCCCAAGGGGGGGCGTGCCCCCCAGGTTGGGAACCTGCAGTCGTGTATCCGCGATTTTTGACTTAATTTTTGTATAGTTGGTAAGTAGCGACACATTGTCCCTATGCTTTGAAGACGGATCAGCAAACAGTACAGTAGATGGCAAACATCCTGAACCTTTAAAAAATATTACATTCTTTACACGGCCATTGAGGCCATTTTGAGAACTTACCATTCAACGTGCGTATGAATTTGGGCCTCCTATCTTCAGGCAGGTAAATAGCCAGATAGTAGACAGGAACCCCAGTTAGAGCAATGCCTATTCCTATTAGAGAATTTATGGTGTCTCCGTACAGAGGGACGACGACTAAGAACACGCTACACAGACAGTAGACGAAGGGGAAGAATAAAGACAACTGTGGAGACAAAAAGACAGAAGAGGTCAGTTTGGTGACTGACATCCGAGTTTCTTTTTATGTTTAACATGCAGAATAATGATTAAAACCATTAGTTAACTATGGTATTATCAGAGCTTCATGTTATGTGCATAAGAGCAGGCACAGCATGAAAGACCCTCTTAGCTTTCCGCTCAATGTCTTTGTTTGATTAACACAAAAAAGTCACTGGGTTTGCGCTGTTACAACTTAAGTGCAGTGAAGAGAATAAATAAAAAGCTTCCTCAGAGCCCTTTAGGCCACTAGTATGCTGGAGTCTCTCCTCTGGTGTCTATGTTTTCAGGTGATTATTATTATTAATAATATGGGCCTATAGAGCAGTTAACCAATCAGAGCAGACTTGGCTCTGGTTTCAGACAGAGGGTGAAAAGAGGTGCTGCCGCACAGGCAGTATGAGGAAAATAAAGAGCATTTTGAACATTAAAGCATGGAGACAGCTTGGAGACACATACTGTGACAGTAGAGTAGAGGAAAAAAATACAAATATGAACCTGAAAATGAGCAGAATAGGGCCCCTTTAACAATATGCATTTCATAACATTACCATGTCTGAATTAATACATTTTAATCTTGATTATTAATGTAACTAAAGATGTATCTGCCAGTGATACATAGGAGGTTCGAAGTGCAATTATTAGAGAAAATATTACTTCAAACCATAATATTTGAAATACTCACAGTAACTAGAATTGTCTATGTATGCACATACTGTATCTATAGAAACGTTTTAGGGCCAGTCATAATGCGAAGGAAGATACATTGTTTGGCTAGCATTTCGAGTTGTTAATGAATAAAACTGAACTTTGAATAGTCAGGCATAAGAAAAACTAAATTAAAGAAGAGAGACTTATAATTATGTTTTGCCTATTGAGAACAAAGTTTAAATGTTGAAAATAAATGTTAGCATAGTTTAGGCTTGACACTTCACTTTATTCTTAATTTTCAGTTGCCTAATTTTTCCGCCTTGGCCCTTATACTCGTCCATACATATGCACGATGTGTTGTATGCGTTGCATGGTATTCATTACAGTATGAAGAATAAAAAAGCCTCACCTTCACGGGCCTGTGTCTGTCTGGCTGAGTGATGCGCAGGTAGATGAGGCCGGCCACAGACAGACCCACATAGAGCCAGTAACTGAAGCTGAAGTAGTTGATGAGCTGGAACACGTCCTCCACACACAGGAAGATCAGCCCCATCAGCCCCTGCAGAACAACAATACACATACACTACTTTGTATGCATTTCAGGAATGTGATGTCAGTTTTATTCAAAGACAGGTTTCCTTACATTGAAGAGCAGTGCAGGTATGGGGGTATAGCGCTCCACGTGGATCAGACTCAGACTGTTGGGGAGGTGGCCCTCTCTGGCCCCGACGAAAAACAACCTGCATGAAGCATGAACAAAGTTGGAAAGTTATTTTCAGAACGTTTATCAAGATAAGAGCCTGGTCAGTTCAGTTCTTCCTGTTTACCTGGAGGCAGCGATGATAGAAGCGTTGAGTCCTCCGTAGCAGGACATGGCCACCGAAACAGGGATGATCCACCTGAACGGCCCCAGGACTGCATTCCCAAACGTCTGTGGGGTTAGATCAACGTGGTTTACTACACTGTCTGAAGTTAGTGTGCCAAACAGACTATATTTAGCAGCAGAGTGAATCATCTCCCTCAGGACACGGTTTGTTTCTTACCACAGCGACAGCATCACTGGCCAGCAGAGACGGCATGTCCAGAACCACGTAGTATGCCACGTTGGTCAGCAGGTAGATGACGGTCACTATGGGCATGGAGATGGCGATGGCCAGGGGTAGATTCCTAGAACAAGAAAACATGATTCTCCTGTCTTACCGAAACGTGGATTACAGGAAGTTGATGTGACGACAACATTATTTCACCCAAGTGGCAATTGAAAGCTGCAGGAATGAGTCCTTCAACCCGGAAATGAGTCAGCATTTTTGCAATTCCACTTTCCTCGTCTCAAAGTCAATGAATAGGTTTTTCGATTTTTGTGGTAAACACAACTTTAAGAGATTTCAAACCTTTGCTCAATCTAAAATACATCAGTTTATACCCCACTTGTGAATTTTAAAGCTTTAACATGTCTTTTAAACCCTGTGTTACCTTGAATTCTCCAAGTAAACTTTATTTTCCTCTCATAACTCTACTGTGAATGAACGAAGAATTAAGAAAAACGAAGAAAAGTCCTGATGAATGGAAATAAATGGTCACTGCATTTAACAACAGAAAAACCATATCATACATCCATTTACAACCTCCCACAAAACCTGTGTCGTAGAACGTTGGGTTACGCATTGTAACCCTTGTTATATTAACACAGGCGGAGCCCTCTACTGGACTCTATGGGTACTACCTTATCCTGCGAGCATTCTCCCGCTGAGACTTCTATAGACGTAGCCGGGCCTTGGGGCGGGCCTACCTTAATGCACGCGCATCTCACCGTATAAAATGAGGCCTCGCCTCCTGACTATCATCCTACACCTGTCTTCAGCGAGCGGAATAGGACAGACAGTGCCCTGAGTAGAGGGTTCCGCCTGTGTTAATATAACAAGGGTTACAATACGTAACCCAACGTTATATCTCTCACAGGCTCCACCCTCTACTGGACTCTATGGGTACAGTGGGTGGGGCCCTGATGTATACGCGCACTGTCGTCCAGCAATAGCATTCCACCCTACTGCCCCTGATCGGCTTCTCTGGTCAGCAGCTGCTGCCCCACCTTCTCCTTTAACCCGGTTGTGACCGAGGAGACATCTGGGCTGCGGCTGACAGAGCACACCCTGCTGCACTTAACTCGCAGAAAGTGTGCTCAAAAAACAGTGCTGCGCCCCCCCGCCCCTCCGCCACTAGGCGGATGGGGAGAACCCCCAGCCCTGTATGGGCTCACTGTGCACCCACCTCCCCGAGTCCCTAAGGATCGCAGGGAGAGTGCCGGTGCCCATGCCCAACACTCAAACACTGACCCCCCCCCC